AGAGAGAGGGTGGCTGCTTTTGATGGTGCCTAAGAGACCAAGAGCTTATCAAGAATTAGTTTTTCTGGGTCCAAGATGCTAGTTCTCAAGTGGTTAATCGAGTAATTAAAAGTGGACTTTCTGGGGAAATTCATTGGTAGTCGGTCTTCCAAGAAGTCTGGATTGAAGGCCGAGATGAATCTTGGCCTGTTGAATTTTGCTTGGAGAGGGGGATTCTTGGAATGAGGTTACGAACTATTGATCACGAGATTAGCTTGAGTGCTGTGCGGATGTATAACCAATGGAAAATATCCAATTTTGCCTGCTGATATCACAGTAGTTTAAATAGTATGATACACATATGACGTTTGATGTAAGCCTTTCTATCTGCAAAGAAGGTTTTCGAACAATAAAATACTTCATTCTTTGCGGCAACATCGGATGTAACGTCCCTCGAACAGGCTTCCCTGAACGCCTTGGTGAACGCCTGTGAACCACTGATGAACGACTTCAAGGCTGGTGATCCCTTTCACCCTTGATCTTTCAACCCTGGAATCCTCTTGCATACGGAAATAATGTACTTTGGCTTTAATCACATGATATTTCTCATGTCAACCAATCGGTCCAACTTATTTTAAATCCAGCCATTCTTATCTCTAACATCACGAGCACTAATATCCGAATTTCACGCGGCCTCTTCTCCATACCCACAATAATCCCAACCAAGCCTTTACCGTCGTGCATTAATTAAATCCTTTCGAAGTCTGCAAGGTTCAATCCTAGAAAATCATTCAAGTTTGATTCGACGTGGCAAAATGTGGAGGTAGATCTTAGTCGTGTTTAGAGATGACATTGTGTCATGAAAATTCCATGTCAGTCAATGTGCAGCGAAAGGGAGCGAGGGAACCTGTCAAGAAGCAAGAGAATGAGCGAGCTTAGAGAAGCAATGGAAATAAGAGAGGCTAAAAACATCATCCTTGAATAAAGCAAGGACTTGAGAGATAGCTAAAATCTTAGTATTGGTTGCTAAGAAACTTGGGTGGACTAACTTTTTGACTGGGTCCGACAGAAGAGGTATATCTGGAGATCGGGTGGGAGGGGTGAAGGGGTTTGGCGTGGTTTATTGCGGATTCATGGGAAAACTGCAAGTGGAAATCTTTCCGGTAAACATACTTTCTCTTCTAGGTATAACCTATGCTGATCAACTAAATTGGGGTTCCCTCGAGAAAGGTGATATAGAAGCTACATATCCCACACTGTACTGCTACTCTCCCTCCCTTTGCTTTACCAACCATAATACAAAGTACCCTAAGAAGGTTATTTGAGTCGGGCACTCAAGTTGTTGAGCAGTCATTTGTCTTCCTTTTGCATTTACTGTTATAATTAATTATTGATACCTTCGGATATCAACAGCAAATAGCACTCGACACAGTTACCTCTCGTGTTTCGATATAATGGAGGAACCAAATTACAATTCCGAAAAGGGTAATCCCCCTCTCACTACCACTGATACTGGTAGCCGAGAGGCATACATGGCAGATACAAAGGCACCTTGGTCAACAAGATTCGTCGACAGCTTCAAGAGAGATCCTAATGCTGCTGTAACAAAGCCAAGTCAAAGAGGTCTCGATGGACTCGAATCACATGTCTCGGGATTTGATCACAGGGCTGCTGCTGAAGCTACTGCCAATTCTGGTTTGGCTAGAGAATTGAAACCTCGTCATTTGCAGATGATTGCAATTGGTGGTTCCATTGGTATGTCAAGACACCTTTTGTGATATCGATTTAAAACAGTGAATGCAAATGCTAATGGTGCTACCAACAGGTACTGGTCTTTTCGTCACATCTGGAGCTGCTTTGTCAAGTGGTGGTCCAGCTTCCCTCATCATCGCATATGGTATCATCGGTATAATGTTGTTCTGCACTGTTCACGCATTGGGAGAAATGGCTGTCGTTTTCCCTGTCTCTGGTTCCTTCTCTGCTTACTCTACTCGATTCATCGACCCTGCTTGGGGATTCGCAATGGGATGGAATTATGCTATTCAATGGCTTGTCGTCTTACCTCTGGAAATCGTCGCTGCTTCTATTACTTTAGAATATTGGCCTGGTGCAGCTAACACTAATGCGGCTGCTTGGGTTACGATTTTCTTCGTGGTTATCGTTGCGATCAACTTCTTTGGTGTCAAAGGTTATGGAGAGGCCGAGTTCGTCTTCTCAATCATCAAGGTCGCTGCAGTTATTGGATTTATCATTCTTGGTATTGTTCTCAACACTGGAGGACAAGTCGGAGGCGGAGAATATATCGGAGCTCGTTATTGGTATCCCAATACCGTCCCATCCACGTATGCTGGCTATGACAGTCCGTCAAACCAGGACGCTGATGGAAATCCTATTCAGATTGTGTCTGGTGCCTTTAACAATGGTTTCAAGGGTCTTTGCTCTGTATTTGTCACAGCTGCATTTTCTTTCGCTGGTACTGAGCTTGTCGGTTTGGCAGCAGCTGAAACCGCCAACCCACGTAAAACTCTCCCAACTGCTATTAAGCAAGTTTTCTGGCGTATTTGTCTCTTCTACATGGTTGCCTTGACCTTAGTCAGTGTTCTTGTACCATATGGAGATGGAAGACTCTTGGGAACAAGTTCCACTGATGCTAAGGCCTCCCCATTCGTTATCGCTATCAACAATGCTAGAATTGGCGTTCTTCCTTCAATCATGAACGTTGTCATTCTCATCTCAGTTCTTTCAGTCGGAAACTCCTCCATCTACGGTTCCTCGCGTACTATTGCCGCTCTTGCAGAACAAGGTCAAGCCCCAAAGTTTCTTGCCTACATTGATCGCAAGGGACGTCCTCTCTTTTCGATCATTTTCGCTTCAGTTATCGGTCTTCTCTGCTACGTCGTGGCTGGTGGACCAAGCACTGCTGCCACAGCTCTTAACTGGCTTTACTCTCTTTCCGGTCTTTCCTCCCTCTTCACATGGGGATCCATCTGTCTCGCACACATCCGATTCCGCGCTGCATGGAAAGCACAAGGTCACACCCTTGATGAATTAGCCTTCACATCCCAAGTCGGAATTATTGGTTCGTGGATCGGATTCATTCTTAATTGCCTCGTACTCATTGCACAATTCTGGACAGCTATTTGGCCAATTGGATATGCATCGATGTCTCAAACTGATATTGCGAAAAGTTTCTTCCTCGCGTATTTGGCGGCTCCAGTTGTCTTGGCGTTTTACATTCCTTACAAGATCTGGTATAAAACTCCATTCATGAAGGCAATGGATATGGATTTGGACACAGGAAAGAGAGATCTTGATACTCCTGCATTGATCGAACAAGATCGTCTTGAGAAGGCTTCGTGGCCTGCGTGGAAGAGAGCTTACAAGACCATGTGTTAAATACCATAAGGTCATGGGCTAGGGAACAATGGCGTTTAGGATTGGGTAATTATATGATTATGTATCATGCTTTATTACCATGTTAATGATTGTCTTATTTTTGGTGTCTTGATGCTTGATAGACATATGAGGATGGGAAAAACGGGTTGGGGATGGGCGGGGCTGGGGCTGGGGGCAGACGTCTGTTAAGATCAAACGTTGGTTGTTGGAATGGAGCGGAAAAGTTTAGAGAGAAATTAAATGATATACCATTACCACCTCAGATATGAAGTTTGTCTTCTTCTTGATATGACGTGATTTACTATATTCCCTTCTTCAAGTTTTGTAGTTGCAAATATAAATTGACTACCTACTCGTATATCGCTTACAAACAGAGCTTTCAAAGTTTGAATCATAATCTGATAATCACAGGGGTTTCAACGTCTGAAATAGTTGTGGGTTAGTGTTCCGGCTTTCTCCCTCATAATTTAATCTGTTCACACGTCAAAGTCTCTAAGCATCGGACTACAGTTCGGATTGTTGGAAACTGTATTCATTTATTGTTCATATATGATTGAGTAGTAAGGTTATAGTGCTGGGGATGCCAATACAAAAAACAACAGAATCTCAAAATATCTATTAGGATCTATCTCCTCTAAACATCAGAACAAGCTAAGGTGCAGCTTATAGGTAAGTACCTACCTACCTAGGTATAGAAGGATAGTAGTACAATAGTTAGTGAGTACCTAGTTTGAGATATACATAATTTAAGGCGCAGAATCTTGTTTGGACGGTATTTCCTGGTTTTTGGGTGTGATATGATGTGATGTGATGTAGAGGATGGGGATAGTATGGTGTGGTTGGGCTAATTTGATCACGTTTGGGGGTTTTCTGGATTTGTCTAGTCTAAAGCTGGTAGTCTAATATAGCGCATTCTAGTATGGTATGATAGTGTATATTAGTCCTGGCGATCTGATACTAGATTTAAGCTTAAAGTTAAAATCTTTTCGAGGATCTTGGAATTGCGTCATAAGCAGTGAAATAGAACAGAACGGAATGGGAAAGAATGGGATAGGTGATTGTTCGATGTGTTTTTGAGGTCATATCAGGCAGATTTGCTAAATGTACGTTTTAGGAAAGAGAAAAACGAGCAAAAGCAAGACGGGATGTGGTGATGAATCAAGACACCGATGCCCCTTAGTAAATTTATTCGGATATGCGACAACAATATGGAACCATAGGATATGACGATGCGGCTTTGCAGTCACTTACTTCTCAATATTACTCTATATTAAATGATGAAGTAAGAAAGAGAGAAGAGAAAGACGGGATCATGATAGGGACAAGAATGCGGGAAACGGATTTATATGATATAGATAAGATAACAGATATGCGACGAGATGATTGGAACTCTGATGCGAAATTCTGATGTCGCTTATGACGATTTAGACGGCGTGAGAATTGATCGACTAGCTGTTTTTATAGGTAACAGCACTTTGGAATATGAGCGTTGGGAAAGTATCTTGTTTAGTAGCTGGGTTAGATCCAACAAATTAAACTTTTTAAATTGAGCTCTAAATTACACTAAGAGATAAGGGAATACAGAGAGCTAAGAGATGTTTGGACTGGAGCTATAGTTTGGAATGATGTCCATAGGAGAGAAAGAAGGGGAGAAGTGAAGCTGGGGAGTGAGGGGCGCTGCTTTATAGTAAGATTTCTTGAGTTTGTCTTTATTTTGGCAGATCAACTTGATTAGAGAAGTTTAGTTTAAGTCAGAAACAAATCTGATGTGAGAGGCAGATTGCTATTCTCCGCTTCCTTGTATTGCTATACTAACATATAGCTGTCTTTAGATCGCTTAACCATGACGGAGAACTTGCAAAGCGTGAATTTGAGAAAAGGGCATGTTGTGTTGCAAATTTTGGATCGGAGGAGGAATGCGCACTACAACAAGGGAAGTTGGTAAAACAAAGAAAGAGATCTGCAGAAGCAAATCCGCTTTTCAAGCGTGACGGAAGTCTAATGCCAACTTTGCACAATGTATGTAGGGCTAATAGAAACTTTAGGCGCAATGCTCTGGGTTTTGCGTATACGATTATGGCGCTTGTTTTGAGTACTGTCACTGCGGTGGCGGTACTATTGGTGAGGCTGCATGCGCAGGCAAGTCGGCGGGTAAGGCCTGTACCTATTAATTGTTACAGCTTGTGTCTAGGAGCAGGAGTGTTCCAGGAAACAAGGACACTTGAGATCACAGGCTCAGACCAGAGAACCAAAACTTCATCTCCTTAGTCAGAAGAAAACAGAGTGTGACAACACCATATTCACGCGATGGGATCCGGGGTCTTGGACGCCAGTAGAGAAACCAGGACTCCCAGGATCCCGTAGAACCTCACAACAGCAAATTTTCTGCACAAATCATAGTCGTTTCCTTGGTGGATAGAATCTTCATCTTTACTCGAATACAGTATCTTCATACATACTTGATAACTTTTAATTTTATAAATTTGACAATTAATCACATCGAATAGCTCTTCTACTGCGAGATGATGTACCCAAAGCGTAATCAAAATTATTCTGAAGCGGTCAGCACCTGGAGTGTAATTGGAATGGGGGACCTTGATAGCAACCCAGTGAAGGCTGCAAAGGCAAAAGTTAGGATCGCAATGGGTGACGCGAGCCTTCTAGGTGCTAAAGTAGGTATAATGAGCCCGGTTCATCAGGGTCAACCGCGAATGGCGGTATAGGGAATATATAAAAGTGTCGGGATATCGATCATGTGATCAAAGAGGGCACTGTATTTGCTAGCGAAGCGCTAGCGCTTCCTATTTAAGTATTAGCTTCCCATAGCTAATAATGATCAAGAACGGATACAAATATAATAGACCAAAGTACTTTACACTTATCAGCCAAGTTGATACCAACACATACCTTCTACAGAAATGTCGACTTTCTCCCAGGCTCTGAAAGATGATCTGTATGTAGGATGTTTCGTTCACAACCCTACTAGCCCCGCCTTCTATCGGAGTTTATTATCATATCTCATAATTCAGCTGCGGAACAGAATAGATCACAGTTTGTTATATGTCTGAGAAGATGGGATGGAAATATAACCCTCTACTCTAATCTTATCAATATTTAACGACATAGGTATGAATTGTTTACTATTTTGCACGCGCTTTACCTTCAATTACCTAGTTATATAAACGGTTATGGAGTTTCCGAAAATATGATTACCCTACAGTGGTTCATTTCTAAACAATTTTAGTGATTGAGTCTCTATCATTAACTTCTGTCTTCATTTGTTGTTTCCAGAAACCCTCCCCAACAAATAAATACGTCACTCGAGCCAACTTGCACTCACATGTTAAAAACAGAGATCGAATAAATTTGAATTTTTTTTAATATTTTGTGCTCGATTTTTCTGTCTGGTTTCCCGGAATTGATCCAGCAGTTGCTCAACTTTGATGGATTCAAAAGATTAAAAATATGTTGACAATATAAAGTGAGCTTTTCATTCACCCCACACATTCCAAATTGAATAAGGCCAACCGCAGTTATCATCCAGTCGATCATCCGCATTATTTTTCCGCACTCGTTCTCTGAGATCTTCGCTCACCGCAATACATAAGTCCCATTGAGCCGCACTCACCTGGGATCCAGGGTAGATGCTACGATACGTCATCCAATCTCTCTGGAAGTTGTCATCAGCGCAGATATCCGGCGTCAGAAAGTTTTCAGTTGGCTCCTTGTCTACCCTTGTACACTCGAAGCCATCGTCGCGTTCTGGAGCGTACGCAAGCAGATTGATATTCTTCTCGGCTGCTCGGCGTTCTAGATCTTCAGAATAGTAGTTCTGACATCTTTCGCTTAAAGTTCCCATGTTGGTTGCTTGTTCCCAAAGTATTGGATCCGGCTCTGGTCTAAGCTCACTCCACAGCTGAAAATAGTCTGCAGCTATACATGCCATGGCAACCTGGCGAAGCATGCTCGGACGTCGGCGCACTATCTCACGGAGTGTTAACTCTAGCGGAATAAGCGGCCACCAAATCAAAAAAGGTTCAGGCCAATATTCTGCGCCTATGATAGTATCTGTGGTGGCAGTGCTTTGATCGGTAATACGCGATATATCGTTCACCATTATGAAGCGGGCTAGAACGGCCGTTCTGATGTCATAAAGATGAGGGCTATGGGCTACGTTTGGTTGATGAGAACACCATCGTGCAAAAGCTGTGTGGTGATAAATACCACGAACTATGGCCTCGTTTTCTTGTGGGATCATGACAGGACGTCGTAGACGTGTGTATCGATCGATATTGCCTTCATAAGCAGCATAAAGAATCAGAGCATCCTTGTTGGTGGTCGGAAGATGGAGCGGAAGAGGATTGTAGAGCAGAGACACGTGCTCAGGAGCTAGAGGACGACTGTGGGCTTGAACAGAAGAGGTCTCGCTGATGCAATGATCCTCCGTAATGTTGAAATAATGCGAACGAGTTCTCTGGAACTCTTTCATGAATTCAACCGTCACACTTAAAGACGAGAGTACTGCTGTGTCGCCATTTAAACCTATTGCTTTTCGTGGAGCTTTCCAATTTACCGAGCGCGTATAATCATCCATGGCGGCATAGTATGTCGGTTGGCACATGATAAGATCGAATATCTCCTTCGAGCCGACAACTGTCAAGTTGTCTCTTGCTTCCTCAGCAATAGAAATGTCCGGGAGCAAGTCTAGTTCGCGATACAAGTCGCTATATCCTCCAACAGCACACGCTCGACCAACATGATACTTCATATCAGGATACTTATGGACCAACTCACGATATGTATCAACGCTTGCTACCTGTGGATGCCAAATACAGTAAGGCTTTTCCTCGTCATCTCTCATGAGCGGAATTTTATCGCTCATTATCAAGCGTGCGTTCCTGGCACGGGCGAGGATTTTGTTGGTGCTCTTAGCACAGATCTCCTTCATTGACTCAGATTCAGCGAATACTTCGTTATAGCGCAACCCGTGGATTATGCAACACATCATTCTGAGATCTTCAAGGTTCTTCGGAATAAATTCTCCTCGCATCGCGCCTAGATAATCCTGCTGTGAAGGCGAAGCCTTACGATCGTATGAAGGAAGGTAAAAGTTGTTTTCATCGTCCGAAGAGTCAGAAAAAGACTCGAATTTTTCGGAACTCATCGTGGTATCTAGTCGAAAGTCTTGGAGTTGCAATTGAAAGTAAAAGGATGAGAGTAGATGAATATTTAAATTTTCCCTTTCAAGTGCGATAGACAGTCTTTTGTATTGTGACTTCATTGAGTAAATCCCTGCTGAAGCACGATACCGAAAGCCCTCGCTTTGATAAAGCTAACCCCACTCAAACCAGTTTTATGCTAACATGGTACTTCCACACGTATTCCTAAAGGATTGCGAACGAGTAGGCAATGGAGGCCCTCCATTTCTCTGGTAAAATCTGACCGCTTATTCTTCGATTTAGAAAAATTAGCAGGTACATACCCTGATTACTCATTGAGGAGATAACGATCTCTATCGCCTACTGGACCGTGCGAGAATTATCGAGATCATAATTGTACATACTCCTGGCCAAATACGCTTACAGTGAAGGCATTCGCATTGTCTGTATCGGCAAGACAGGTGGAGTTGTAATATGGCACGTCGCGGATTTGGCAAAAAGATCACAATTAGATATGAGACAAAGAACAGGCTCAGACTACTTACCCAATGTATAAGCTTATACTGCCCCAAGAGTCTCCCGAAAGCTCTCGGAAATCGTTTCGAATGAAAGAATTGAGCATTGGACTTTGCCAACAAGCTCACCCAGCGGCGTGGCCAAGTCAGTCTCCAAATTATTCCAGCATCGTTCGAACAGAAAGCCGTAAAATCAGTCATTTTGTCAGGTCCGGTCAGGTAACGTGCTGACGAAGTAGTGTTGGTGTATTCTTTAAGAAGAATTCATGATCAGATAGAAAAAATCACCCATGAATGGCTCTGAAATTCTATACGTTAAGGCAGTAACTTCGGTGGACTAGTTGTATGTAGTCATGCTCGGAAAGGTATTGTCATGCTGATGAGCAGATGAACATCAAACCCTTTCAGCAGTGTGGCTGAGGGGAATTGAAAATTTTGTTGCAGTCTGTCATTATTTTTGGGAGGTTTACGAGCCTGGTTTCACAAGTTCACAGTATTGCTTGTCTTTTCATTACAATCAGACGTTAACAATGGAACAGATCTTGATGCAAAGAAAGACTGAGCTGATGGACAAAGAGTCAATTGATACCTAGCATTGAAATAGTGGATACAATGTGGACGGTGACCGCTGAAAACTAAAATTTGCTTAACTGATTTGTTTCCGGGAATATTTGACTTTCCGCACTGCCTTAAAATGAGCTGTTATCTGACATCCAAACGAGGCGGAGCGCAAGCGCTTGCAAGTGCCTCGGTATCCAGAGATTATATGGAGCTTCTGAAGTCTCTATCAGTGTTGACTTCAAGCTGTGCCGCAGACTTCCATTCTTATCTGCAATCTCCGGCGACGATGTGGAGCACCGGAGCTACGAAGACTGAATTCAAAAATCAATCAAACATTGAACTAATTCGAATGAGGAAAGTGCTAAACTTATGAGTCAATTACCACAATGAAAAACTTCCCAACATAAAATATAGGCTCCATAGCTAATGACACTAATGCAGTGCTCTACACAACACATACATTTGGAACCATTGTGTCGGTAAATTAAGGTTAATTAAACCCTGAAAGCTTAATTGTTCTTGAGGACCTCGCTTAGATCAGCCCCACGCTTAATCTTACCTCTAATCTCTGCCCCCTGTCACTAGCTCGAGCGGATCTGTGGATCCACTCTAATTAACATTATTACTTTACGTGTGTGTGAAGATACCAGAGCCATGGATCTTTTGCAACATAACGAGACACTCAATGCTATCTCGATAGACGGAGACGATTCTGGTCTATGTGACTTTGTGTGTGACCGTGGCCACTATCCTGTTGAGGTTGACGCCGACAAGCGGGATTAATATGGCTACGGCCTAACTAAAATACCAATGACGATTGTTACTACGATGTATCTGATCTACTCAATATGACATACTGCAACGCTAGTTCTCAGCCAACCATGTTGAAAGATTTACTTTCCGCTACAGCTTCCCAGTCGATTTCGTCTCAGTGCTGGTGTCAGTGGACGGTGGGATTCTACGCGAGACACTTGACGACCTACAGAATGAGTATAACACATCAGTTCAATGCTTTGACAATAAATCTGGCTACTACTTCCTGTGGGTCAAGGACAGCGCTAGTTCTGCTCTCAGTGACTTTATGGATGTTGGAACTGGTAATAGCAACGCCTTGTTTGACCGCAAATGAATCACCGGCGGCACGAAGACCACCACGGCTTGCGTGAGTGAGTATGTCAGAGCTAAGGAAAACGTTTGATTTATTATGTCTTTGTAAATGATACACCGCGTGAGCAATTAAGTTCTAAGGTACTACCTTTCTGATGTACAAAAGTTGTGGCAACTGATGACTCCATGCACTCAAAACGGTTCACTAAATGACACCTCAGAGGGTTGGAATTTCGGGTATACAGAGACTGACTCTGTCGGCTTCACACAGCTGCCGCAAGGCAGCTATATCTCGTGAAAGATTGGACTGCATTTAACAGTTGGAAGGGACCAACAAATTACATTATCGTGCAAGAGTAGTTGCAACGTATACCACGCTAGGCCAGTCCTGAAAGAAGTGGTAGAGGTAGCTATTACACTGAAGCTGCGTATCGGAAGACCGAAGTTCCGATTGTAGTCTCTGATATCGTCGTTGTAAACCTTGTTATAGTTATAGAGGCAGCTATGCCCAATATTACCGCTCTGACAACTGCAGCTATGGCACCGTAGTTAGAGCTTGCGCTTGGGATCAGCGAGGCAAATGATTCGGATATTATAACAGCATTCAGCACACCAGTATTCATGCTCCAAAATGCCGTTGACTCGATGAACAACATCAAGGCCATCGGTGCAGAAGTAGAGGAAGAGGACAAAAAAAATCTGATCCTCGAGATTCTAGGTATAGTCCTCATGGTAGTACCTATCATTGGAGAAGGTGGAGGGGCGCTTTTTGGTGGAATTGCTAATGTAGCTCGAATTGCTACTTTAGTCGGCGATGTTGGTAATGCGGCTCTCACTGCCTACGACATCGTGGAAGATCCTTCATCTGCTCCTTTCTCAATCATGGGTCTTCTCCTTGGAGGCCTAGGAAAGACATCCAAAAACGAGGAGGAGGTTCTAGGCGAGGCGGCCGCTGCACGAAGAGGTTTAACGGATGATGATTTGGCTCAATTTGGGAAGGCTTTTGTAAAGAGCGATTCTGACGTGCAAAGCATTCTGAAGGCTTGTATTAGTGGAGACTAGCAGGAAAGGTGAGCTGTTTAGTGTTAAAGATGAAACTGTAATATAGTATAGAGTAGAAAAATAGTTATTATATAATGAATGCTCAGGTCAGAGGCTATTATTCATGATAAATAGTAAACTCTTCGTAATCTTTCACGCCGCCTAAAGCGCGTCTTTTCTGATTTTAATTTCAAGAACAAAGATGAAATGATAATGAAAACAACAAATTGCTCTCATGCCCCGCAACTTTATTAAATTATTCTTATGTTCTTGATATCGAAATCATTTTTCTCTCACACCTCTCAAATTCTGGCCTATCAACTGTAGAATCAACTATAGAGTCTACCTTAAAATCGTAGAAGCTAACCTATAATCACTAGGAATCAGAAAGAAAACCCAAAGGATTCGAAGGCAAAATGGTAGTATGTTTATATAACCTACCCCCCCCCCAATAGAATCTGCTCCCCCTGATGAAATCTATCCTAAATAAAGTAGAATTTATCATCCTCCTAAAGAGTCTACCCTCTCACCATAGAATCTAACCTAAAATGATTACAATCCAAGAGACATGAGCGCAATTTGCCGTAGTAAACAAAAACAAAACGTCTATAGCATACAATAGCATTAAGAATATTCAATAATCTTATCAAATCCTTCCCGACTTGCTGGGTAACTTTAAATCACCTCGAAAACAAATATTCAGCTTGAGATACGAACCATCTTCACTTCACTCAAACACACACAGTCTACCTGCTGGAAATTCTACTGGAATACTACCAAAACATGTATAGATATCAATATTGCTAGCGAGGCTCTCTGCGGCCCTCGTGATACTCGCATTAATGAGATTGTGTAGATATGTTATCAACCCTCCCATCCCCACTCAAACTCGAACCACACAACCAGCCGATTGGATTCCAATCCCAGCAAGCCTACAAAAGAAGCACCAGATAATTGCTCGTGATTGTATACACACTTTCACAAAGAACGACCCTAATTCAATATCACAATAATTCAATATCACAAAAACATAACAGCTGAACCAAAGTACACTATACAATGACAGCTAATCTCAACTCCACATCTGATGTAAACCGAGAGTCCTGATACCAAATGCAGTAGTCCAACCTCACCCTCTTCTGAAATAATCACGATCTCGGAAAGGAAAGAAGAAGAGAAAGATGGAATTGAATCCAAGATGACTATCACTTGAACAGCGCACAGTTTCGTCAGACACTGCCTGAAACCAATATCCAGAAGAACTCCCATCGCGATAAATCAAGCAAACAACATCACAAACAAATCTCCTTACATAAGAAACGACCATACATAAGAAACGACCACTTGATCGAGAAACTCAAGAGATACAACGAAGCTGATCACCTATTACAAAAAATGGAAACAAACCGACTTTAGCCATGACGTGTTTTGTAAGTAAGAAACACATAGATATGTAGACATGATCGTATATCAACTCCGTGTAATTACACAAATATTCATTCTCATACCCATCTGAGTTTCTCATCTCACCCCATCTCATAAAATCCCCTCAATCCAAATCCAATCATCTCCTATCCCACCCCAATCCCAATCTCATCCCCAATCCCGCCCCCAAGAACTCCCTAAGTATGACCCACCAAACCCGCCTGAGGCGCATTATCCGGATTTGTATTCGCACCCTCAAAGCCCAACGCCGTATTCCAGGCATTCGCCGTCGTCACATCCTTTGTGCCCAACGCGCTAATTTTCGTCTTCGCATCCGCACACGCGGTCTTCGCCGCCTCATTCGCATTACATACATTAGCCAACTGATCGCAGATGCGATTGGTGATGATATTAGGATTAAGTGCTTCTTGCTGGCCTTTGTTGACTAAGGGATCGATGGCTTGGAATGTGAATTCGGTGTCTTTGCGACCGTCGAGACCGGCTTCGAATTTGATGGTGGGGACGCAGAGACCAAAGTCAAGACCGGCGATGGAGGGGGCTTGGGAGCTTGAGGAAGTGGAGTTGGTTAAGGCGACAGAAGAGGAGGCAGCGGAAGTGGCAGCTGCCACAGCGGCGGACGTAGCGGCCATAGTGACAGTGACGAGAGTAGTACCTCCACAAGCAACCCCACTTGAAGAAACCGCAGCGACGGCAGCCACAGCCAAACTCGAAATACCCGAAGAAGCAGCACTAGCAGTGGAATTCGAAGTCGACACACTTCCACCCGCAGCGGAAGATCCAGATGGAGTTCCCTTATTTCCCGCGGCATCGGTAGTTGTAAAATTTGAGAATCCCTGTGCAACCATTACATCCGCAACACTAAGACCATCTGCTGCAAATGGAGTTGTGGTACTCGTTGCACTATTTGCATTTTCTGTTATGCTTCCTCCTACAGCTGGATCGATCAAAGGAACGACACCGCGAAGAGCAGCAGTAGTAGGCAAAGTTGGATCAGAACAGATATTTGGAACGGAAACGACAAAAGGATTAAAATTTTGTTCGGCAGCTACGAGACCGCGGGCTGCGGAAATCACAGCGGGGTCGTTGCCAAGCTGTGCGACGATGGCATCGGCTTGGGTGAGTTTTCCGCAGGGGTTGGCAGCCGCGAGGAGGAATTGAATAGAGCCCCCTCCGAGGCTTGCGGCTGCACCTGAGGTTCCGAAATCACTGAGAGCGGTAATGGCAGCAATTGCGCCGTTTCCTTGTTCTTGACCGAAACTAATATTGCAAAGTTAGGACACGTGCACAACTTGAGCACTTGTAGATGAAAGAACATACCGAGCTTCGACCAAAGCTACTAGCAAAGAAGTGATGATGGTCTTTGAAAACATGTTGATTTGATTGGGTTTGATATCGATGTGATAGGTATTGGATTTGAAGAAAGGTAGTATAAAATTTGACTGTTTAAAAACTAAAAGATTGGACCGGCCTAATGTGAAGGATGTAGTTAATGAAAGTTTAGATAATATTATAGCAAAGAACGCAGTAGTTCACAGAACTAAATGAATGAAAAGACAGCTAAACTGTAGATTGAGAGGAAGATTGAATAGATGATGAAGAAAAAGAAAATTATCGAAGGAGAAACATCTTGTACTTGTACGTGACGAGAATGAGAGTTGACTCCAAGGGACGATTATTCAATTTCCTGGGGATTGATACAGACTTTGCATGCTGGTAGAAGATCATACTATGCGGCGGTTAAGTTTACTGCTTGAACGATGTCCATACCGTTGAAGCTAGTAAGGAGACCCAGGAGATAGGACGAAAATGCTAGGGCTGATACAAACTTCAGATGACAGAACCTAGCTGACATCATTGACTTGAACTCAAAATTGTGAGAAATCCTTGTCTTTTTCACCCCACTCAATTTTTGCGAGATTGGTTACCACCCTTTGTATCAAGGAACCGAATGATATATCATTTCTGAATCATTTCAGACATCAGATGAAGCCACTTCAAGTCTCACTTTTTACCATCTCAAACGTCTTGTGCCTCTGCCATAAGCTTACCAAAGAATGTAACCGTACCCCTTGTCGGAACATTTCGGGTGGGTCATTAATTTGGCAGTTCTGCAAAACATATGGTCCACTCAATGAAATCTGGGGAAACAAGCTACCAGATGGATCGTAAGCTAAAGTGTTTTAAATTAAAATTAATCGAAAATTTCCGAAACCCCTGTATTCCGAAACCCTTGCATTCCGAGATCGCTTATCTTATTTTAGTCTCCGTCTGAAGCCAAGGCTTGAGACGAGGTTGAGACAAGGGGGGTTTGAGCAGGGATCTAGCGCGGTCTAGCGCGGTCGGAACATCTCCACTACATCTCCACGACATCTTCGGTATAGATTCATGGGTCTGGAACATCAATACCGATTTCATCACAGCACTACTCTGATGAATGAATAGTAAGGATTCAAAGAATGTTTTGGTAAGCTTCCTCTGCATATTCTTAAACGTGTTGCCAAGATGAGCTCTCGCCCAATCAAAATTTTGCGAAGGAATCGTAATAAAAACAGGAGAGAGATTTCTGTATGTTGGCAATAATAGTCGTGATGTGACATTCCCATCTTCAATTTTAGTTATCCAATCTTCAATTCAATCGCATGAAATTATGCGATGTAATATTCATCGGATCTTGCAAATCATAATCCAATTAATTATGCGTTCTTCTTTTGATCCTCGCCGGCATCCCATCAGATGGTTTAGCACTTGCAATTAACTCTTGATAAGCACGATCTCCTAATCTTTTGTTAGCACCACTGATATCAATCTGGTCTTGCAGAAGAAACCCTCTCACCGAACATCCCACGTGTACCATTGAGAACACCACCAGGTTCCTTCCTACCAAGTTTTCGATCCCAAGTCTCGTAATCGGACTTGATGTCGAATTCTCTCAAAGTCATAGCCATAACAATCTTCATTTCAAGAAGAGCAAGTTCTTGTCCAATACAATCTCGAGATCCCCTTTCAAATGGTCGCCAAGCATTCTTTGGAATTTCTTGAAAGTTGTCTGGTGCAGGCATGAATCGTTCAGGAATGAATTCGTAAGGGGAGGGGAAAAGATCCTCTCGGTGATGTATGGTGTGAACACATACCATTACCATAAAATCCTTAGTGGGGTATTGTCGACCTTCATATTCAAGAACGAGATCATCTCCATGTCGTGCTGTATCTGCAGGTGGGTACCTCCGAAGAGTTTCCTTAATGCAGCTATATACGTATGGTAACTGATTTACTATACTCGGGTTTTCCTTGATCATATCTCCAGTTCTTGAAGTGTCCTTTCCAAATACCCTATCCAATTCATCTCGCGCTTTGGCTAAACATTTAGGATTTTTACCTAGGAGATGATATGTGTAGGCAATAGTACTCGAAGTCGTGTCGTGACCAGCGAATAGAAATGTTTTCATTTGATCAATTGATACTTGCTTGAAAGTTTGATCCAATCCTCGATCACTCAATGCGATATTGTCCTCCTCTTGTTGGAGAATATATTCGTCGAGAGCAGTATCAATAACAGGCTTTTTCTTACCTTTCGTGGCACTCCCTTCCTTCTCTGCGAATCGAGTATCCAAGACTTTGTTAAGATAGCCGTCCATTTTCCATTCATAATACTTTCGCATAATCGGACCTAATGGGTTTAGATTTACCAATGGATTCGTCGCAACAATTTTTGGTGTCCAAGAAATAGAATTTCGAAAATATTCGACCAGCTCACTCTTCATGGTTTGAGAGTTTAAACTAATATCCAAAACCACATGACCCATTATATCAATAGTCAAAAATGCAGCCGCTTCTTCAATTGGATAGACCTCTCCCGAGTCGGCAAGTTTACCCAAGACATCGCGAAAAATTTCCACTTCATCGACAAGACTGGGCATGAGTGTTGTTAGATGAGCAAGAGCAAAGCCTTGATTGAACAATGCCCGGTTCTTCTTCCATTCCAAACCTTCCGTAAGTAGAATACTTCTCTTCCCGGTGATATGGCCAACATATTGCCCAGTGACAACTGATTTTGGCAGTGAGTGATTTTGCGTGCATTGTGCAGCGAGATTCTTTCCAACGTCAGTTATGTTACGATACCTATTGGTGCTTTCTTATAAAGTATGATGGAAGAAATAAACATACCGGGTCACAAATAATAATTTGTCTCCAACGAAAGAATGGCCAATTGTCCAGGATAAACATGTCCTTTAAGTTATATTTGTCGTATATCATGGTCATAATACCATGAGGATGTGCAGTCATTGGTGCATGAGCATATTGATCGCCCATCGATTTCAACGTGCCCAGTAAAGTACTGAAAGGCGGACAAGGTATCCCAGATGCCTATCGAGTTGATCAGCTCGTACAAAATTGGAGGAGAGATTGTTATTTACATATTCCTTGTACGATTTTCTATATTGAATGAATCTTACTACCCAGGCTGTGATCGTTATTGCGAGAATCGTGGCAATAAGCGCCACGACCTTATTGGGAAGCCATACATTGCCAATGAGACCAGAGCTATTCCCAAGAGATGAAATTGTTTGGTTTCCCATGTTGAATATTCAGTGAAATGTTGAAGTAGAAGAATGTCGCGAATGCTACGCGTTGGAGCTGTGAAACTCGTGAAATGTTGACAATTACAATTACCTTGATGGGTAACCCATTGTGCTCCTTCGAATTGATACAAAGTAATAAGCGATCCAATATAAAGTTACTGTATATACTCGAGAAGAATCTCGATAATTGATACTTCACCAACCGCCTTCTCAACAATCACAGTGAATGTAATAAAACGCGTACGAATTCCATGTTTTAAAATAACATTCGATAAAGTTGTTTGAACAACAATGCCGGAAATTAATTAATCCAGCAAATCAACCGAAGTTTAACCGCATTCCTTTTGGGTTACATAAGCGAACTCGAAATACTGGTGTACGACCAAGTCATTCTCCTAATGAATTGAACTCTCCCAAGTACACTCAATTGTATCTCTAGATTTTATGAGAGACGGTACCAACAAGGTACATAACATCATAGTGAATATTTCAAATCATCTGGACACCCTTCTCTCTGACCTTAAAAGATCTCATCAACAAGGAACAACGTCTTTCCGGGAAATCAACCTTAGACAACGGAATTCGGATGGATGTCTGACTTGTAAAAGAATCAAGGAGCGAAGATGGAAAATCCGAAGTTGTTCATAGTTCGAGGGCATAAATTCACGATATCTTGCATTTAAATATCGCAGAACGTGAGATGCTATATATTAGACAGGAGATCCATTTAGTAGGAGAATGTAATTTCCTATTCGAAAGGTGTATCCGTGAGAACTCAAGATATATTTCTACAAATGGTATATACTCGTCTCTACTGATAATCTGAACCTCGCTCTCTATCGCTATAATACAAGAAGTGGAAAATGTCTATAAACAAAATCAGAAATACATGAACCAACGCATATATTTCCTCAAGCAGTCTTCCATCCTAACAGTGCTCCCAGCTTTGCTACATGTTTCATGAATCCCCTCGTAGGAGCATGAGCTCTTCTCCATCTATAAAATGCCAATAATCCCCCAATTACGATTGGTGAAGTCAATACACTCACCAAACCCACTATGATCAATTTGCCCTGTTTCTGGCTCTTCTTTACAATCTCGGAATATCGCTCGTTGCTAAAACTAACACGAGAGTACTTGGTTTGCCATCCAAGACGAGGTACGTATACACTCAATGTTTCCTCTAACCATTTGCGGAATTTGTAGACCGGTGAGATGACGGCTGCGCGCATTTCAAAGTAGTTTTCGAAGGCTAGATCGTTGATAGCGTGTGCATCGGCTTTTCGGATTTCGGAGTAAACGCTCAAAGCAACAGAACGACAGGCTTCGGTGCTAAGAAGGGGGAAATTGCGCCTCTCATCATCGAGAACAGAATAAAGAACACGGACATCTTCCAGACCCGCGTTCATTCCTTGTCCGTAGAATGGAACCATGGCGTGAGCGGCATCACCGAGGATGACTACTGAATCTTGGAAATGGTAGGGTTTGCATTTTATGCTTATGAGTGGAAGATGTGGGTTATTTTTGAATGATGATATCAGAGAAGCATGGTCGATTAGTTTTGTGACACCTGGAAAATGCTCGTCGAAGAAAGCCGGGACATCTTTAGGGTCGGTTTCGAGCTCATTGAACGGTTTCGACGGCATGAAGAGAGTGCAAGTAAATGAGCCATCCTAATTTACGTAAGAATATAATCGAGAGAAAAGAGCAGGACGGGGCCTACATACCGTGCTAGGGATTGCGATGAACATAAAATCTTTACCGGGCCAGATATGTAAGTGATGTGGAGATATCTTAAAACGAGATGCTGGATCCTCCCCAATCTGCTTTTGAGCATCTATTGTGAATTCACACCACAAAGTGTCGATATACTCTTGCTGATAGTCCATTCGGAGATATTTCATTAAGTGATAGCGTGTAGCCGAATGAGCCCCGTCAGCTCCAATGAGGAAATCAAAATCTACTTCCACTTCCTGGTCTCTAATTTCGACGGACCACTGAAGTGATTTTCCACCATGGACTTCAAACCATGCTTTTTTGTTTTTGAAATCAGCTCCGGTTAGTTTGTGATTGAACTTGAACTTGACATTAGGAAGAGACTCCAGCTCATCGAGTAATCTTTTGTTGAGATCTCCTCTGTCCACGGCATATATTGACTAGGAATCGTATTAGTAATGAGGTTACTACTGTAGTCATAGATATTCATACTCTTCCATGGATATCATAGTCTTGTGACTGTTCGTAGAGCTCCTTGTTAGCCGTTTCGCCGTGAATCATCCTACCTCCCATGGGTATCGCCTCTTTCATGATACTATCAAGAAGTGCTGTACGCCCAGATTGTCTTATGGCATTAATTCCCCGCTCTGATAAAGCGAGATTGATAGATTTTGTGAAATTGAGAGGTGTTGTGGAAGGATCCCGAAGATCTAGGACTTTGTTAATGGGGGAGATCATGGGATTGACTCATAAATTCACAAGCCAATGTAGCAATGATGAAAGGATTCTGTTCTCCTGTGATGCATACATCTAGAGAGAACTGGAGAGGGATAAAATGTGCCGAATTGAACTTGATCTAGCCTTCCGCAATGCCACAACATGAAAGTTTCTCCCTGGAATATTTGTGGCGATACCCTCACATGACTCATCTACATGAAGGAAAAAGAATTCCAAAATGAAAAGTCTCTGTGGCGGATCGAGAGTGAACTTTCACTGGGTGTGTTGTATATCATATACAGACTCTGTCCCTGACTTTTCTTGGGTAGTTCCTGTGTATTGCAAACTATTCAGGCAAAAAAATGATAGAATCAAAACGTACCACTTCGGAGTTCATATATCTCTACATCATCCCCTCGTTGAGCTGCATATAGAGCTGCTAAAGCTCCGACTGGACCAGCTCCAATAATAACAGTCTTCTGTCCAGACATCTTCGATTAAATTGTCGACTCAAAACGATTGAGGCAAATTTTCGAGAAGTCTATTTATGACATCTTGAAAATATATAGTACTCCGGTCCGGTGATTTTATCATTAGTGAAGGGTCTATCTGGTATGACTTTATAAATTTTATAAATCATTTCACTAAATTCACCCCTCATATCACGTGATCGTATGATTTTATGAAGAGTTGTGAACACTAAACTGAAACAAGACACCGCCTTGGCACAAATTGTCTATTTGATTGGCTACTTGTCTTGAACGCCCTTTCTAGAACACTTTTTGGGAACACGGCTGACAGAAATTTACCAGAGATTTCGCCTTGTCCTTCTCGTACAACGCACTAGGTTATAACAAAGCTGTTTAACCATCAAGGTCTCTCGGAAAGTTTGTATATTCCCATATTATAAATTTGTTGCAGATCTCCTTCACCATGGCATCAGAAGACTCGGCATCGCCCAGAAAATGCATAGGCGTTGATTGCGAGAATGAAGCTGGCTCATTACAATGTCCAACATGTTTAAAGCTTGGCACGAAAGATAGCTTTTTCTGTTCGCAAGATTGTTTTAAGAAGAGTTGGGTATGTACACTTCAATCCTATCTATATCTAATCCATCATCCAAAGCATTTCGAACCTCTCAGGAAATCGGCAGAGCATCAGGTGTCGTCCACTTTGACTGCCCCTCTGAGGAAGTTTTGGAGGGGTCAATTGTTCAATCCGGCGCAATGCTAACAACGATCACAGAGTGAACACAAGAAAGTCCACAAGTCACAGAGTAATTTCCTCAGTAATATCTTTACCCCAAAAGTTGTTTCTAAACCCGATCCAGCTACCGGACTATTCAATCCATTTCCCACCTTTCCATTTACCGGATCGTTACGACCTGTTTACCCATTATCCGACCATCGAGAAGTACCAAAAACTATTCAGCACCCCGATTACTGGAGAGATGGCGTTCCACGCAGCGAAAGAACCAGTCAAAGAAACAAGATTGAGATTTTGAACAAGGAACAGCAGGAAGGCATGAGAAAGGTTTGTCGATTGGGTAGAGAAGTTTTGGATATCGCAGCCGCAGCCGCTAAACCTGGAGTTACTACCGACTACATCGACGAGATCGTACACAAAGCTTGCTTGGAGAGAAACGTGAGTACCTTGTCGCGAGGGAAATTGAATTTACTGATCAGCCTAGTCGTATCCTTCTCCTCTCAACTACTGCGATTTCCCAAAGTCCGTCTGCACATCCGTCAACGAAGTCATTTGCCATGGTATTCCAGATAGGCGGGTTTTGAAAGATGGTGATATTCTGAATATCGACGTTACACTCTACCACGGAGGCTTCCACGGCGATCTCAACGAAACATATTATATTGGTGATAAAGCAAAGGCGGACCCTGACACAGTGCGAGTGGTGGAAGCTGCACGAGAATGTTTGGATCTAGCCATCAAAATCGTTAAGCCTGGAGTACTATTCAGAGATTTTGGAAATGTTATAGAAAAGCGCGCCAAGGAGTCGAATTGTAGCGTCATCAAGGCATATTGTGGTCATGGAATCAACAGCTTGTTTCATTGCGCACCAAATATTCCTCATTATGCGAAGAATAAGGCTGTGGGTGCAGCAAAACCTGGAATGTGCTTCACAATCGAGCCCATGATTGCATTAGGAACACACAAGGATAAGACTTGGCCAGATAACTGGACCAGTGTCACTCAAGATGGAAAGAAAACTGCCCAATTTGGTATGTAATTTTGGACTTCATTGACTGTGATCATTTACTGACATCCAACAGAGCATACTCTTTTGATCACAGATGATGGTTGTGAAATATTGACAGGAAGACTACCAGACTCTCCTGGTGGACCCATACCAATGCCAGTCGTTGCCGAGGAGACTAATGGGGAGACGAAGGAAGTGGCAGCTTGAGAAATAATTAGCATAGATAGATTATAGCTAAGCTAATAGCCACCAGGGCCATATCGAGGGCAATGAGGGGAGGGGGGTAAATTGTGTGACCCCATGAATCCCATGTGAATAGGAAATGGCATTTCCAGGCTCGAACCACAAATCACCCCCAAAATATGATGGCCTCTAAAGACTAATAAGTAAGGAGGTGATTTAGAAGTAAATATGAATATAACTTTTCCAACACAATATTTAAATCAAAGCCTTCACAGTACGGCTCTTAAGTTTTACTCGAGTGTAGATAGGTATCTATATCACCTTTACCTACCTACCTAGGTCCCTACCGATCGTTCATGCCCCTGACAAATATGCACAATTTATACATACATAAGCGAATGAAATATCACCTATTATCCTATCAGAAGGAAACAAATCCTTGATATTGATCTATCAACACAATACTAACAAACTTTCCAAGTCTCCAAAAGCTTCGTCATTCGCCGCTTGTAGATCATCATCCGAATCTTTCCCACTTACCATAAACTTCCAGGAAAAGCAAACCATTGTCGAGTGTGGTACTGCATAAAAAATAATTCTGCCAACATCATCTAGATTCTTCTCTCACCAAGGTGCAATCAACACGGTGCCGATTTTGGAGCATTTCCCCACCTTTAGAGCTTAAACTTGAACTACCCATACTCAAAAAAATCCCTTCAGAGAACAGACAACGAACAACACGCACGCAACCATCCGAGCTCCTAGAAGCAACATCTTGCCTCGAATATATATTCGGAGACCGTCATCGCAGATATTGCAACTTGAGAAACTACACCAAAGGCTTTTTAATCGCGTATTCGACGCGATTCACACAGGTTGCCCAAGATGATGTCAGGAGAGGCATGGTTGTACCTATTGGCGGTGCTTATCAATGCCGTCAATCTGTTCCTACAAGTATTCTTCACTATTATGTACAGTGATCTCGAGTGGTAAGTTTGATTTCACTTTGTTGCCTCTTCAATCCAGGGTTGCGGACGGTTCGGAAAGGTGGACAGAGTAATAGAGACTTGGCCTCTACCACATGCGATAAGCATGTATATCGATTCTTTGCTACTGGGAGGGAACAGCTCAAGCTTCATCATACTACGAAATCATGCTAACATCGAATGGCACAGTGACTACATCAACCCTATCGATCTTTGCAACCGTTTGAACACGTACATTATTCCTGAAGCAGCGGTTCATGGGTTCTTGACCTTCTTGTTCCTTATCAACGGGTACTGGGTTGCGCTCGTTCTCAATCTGCCACTTGTGGCATTCAATGTCAAGAAGTAGGTTCCCGCTGCAGTGTTAGAATATAAAGATTTGGGACATTCGCTAACAGATGAATAGGATTCTCGATAACGCACATCTTCTCGATGCTACTGAAATTTTCAGAAAGCTCAATGTCCACAAGAAAGTAAGTTGATACTTGGTTCCATGTCTCGTCATATTTTTAAGTTCTCACTAACATCCATCCCTCAATAGGAATCCTTCATCAAGCTCGGTTTCCATCTTGTCATGTTCTTCTTCTACCTCTACTCTATGATCGTTGCCTTGATCCGGGACGAGTCGCATTGACTTAAGAACAATATCGGCGACCGGTATAAAGTGGAGGCATAGGTACAGCTATAGGTTCTATGGTCAAGGGCAGAGCTTGCTCGACGAGACGGAACTAGAAGACTACGAGAAATGGGTGGCAGGTTTTATATGTGCCATGATCTCTACGATATGTTAACTACGAATGGTATGGCTGAATGAATGGATGAATGGTGGTAGTTTAGGTGTAATGGTAGTGCTCTTTCCATTGGTTTCGAGCCTGGCAGGAAAATGGGGAGAATTCTATAATGAGAGGACTTCGTACAGAAGTTTCATGTGGATAGATACCTAACATGCTAAAAACGGCATGCTTTTTTTGATATGAATGAATCTTGTTATTTTGCAATTATCAAATATCAAATATCAAAGATCTTGCTTTCATTAGCATTTTTGAAAACTATTCAGTGCCATAGAAGCGATAAATTTCAGCCAATGATTGATTTCTCTTCCAATCGATAGAGCAAAGCTTGCGCCTTGTATCGCCTGCATGATCACGTGCTTGTGTTTTCAGCCTCGCCGTTCAATCGCGAAAATAGTCTCGCGCCTTGTACCCAAGTTTAACTTTGTGAGACGAGAAAGACGACAATAATTATCTACAAATATTCGCTCTCGATTCTGTTTCTCCCATCAATCCAAATCGAAGCTTTCAAAATGGCGGACTTTGGCGCATACCCGCCCAATATGGCACCTCAAAATGCCCTCATAGCTCGAAATGCAGAAGGCCCAGAACATGCCGTGGTTCAATACAGCGCTGATAATTTGGCCCGCGCAACACAGGGTCCTGCGAATCCTTTCAAAGACGAGAAAAATTCACTTAAGCGCAAAAATGTACTTACTGGACATGCAGAGGAGACCTATATTAGTGAACATACGTTTCGAGATCAATATCGAGCGGTGGAACGAAGAGGGAATCATCTTTCAGGTGCCGAAGCCAAGGAAGAAGCAGCTAGGATACGAAGTAAAAGACAGAAGAAGGGAGATTCAAGTATAGCGGAAGGTGATAACGCGTATGTTGGACCTTGGGCGAAATATAAAAGGGAAGAATATGAGGAAGTCAATGAAGATGAACCATTACGAAGCGATGAAGAATATGAGGAAATTGAAGAGGAGGAGGATGTAATAGAGAGTGGAACTGTAATTGCTGCACCGCCGCAAGCTTTAGCGAGACGACAAGAGGTTGAAGAATTGGGTGAGGAGACAACGACATTCGAAGGAAGTGAACAGTATGACTATCAGGGACGAACATACATGCATGTTCCGCTGGATCTGGATGTAGATCTGAAGAAGGAGGCTGGAAGTTTCAAGAACTATGTACCGAAGAAGATGATACACACTTGGAAAGGACATACAAAACCTGTTGTTGGAATACGATTCTTCCCCGAATCTGGACATTTGCTTCTCTCAGGGAGTGCCGATACGACGGTCAAAATTTGGGATGCTCATCATTCAAGAGAGCTATTACGAACATATTCAGGTCACACGAAAGCTTTAACAGATGTTGCGTTCAATGCAACCGGTACACAATTTATCTCTGGCTCCTACGACCGCATGATGAAATTATGGGACACGGAAACAGGTCAATGTATAAATCGGTTCACAACTGGCAAAACTCCTCACGTCATTCGCTTCAACCCCGATCCCGAACACTGCAATGAATTCCTTGCCGGTATGGCAGACAAGAAGATTGTACAATTCGATACCCGTACTCGCGAACTCGTACAAGAATATGATCACCATCTTGCAGCTGTCAATACTATTACATTCGTGGACGAAAACCGACGCTTCATCACTACATCTGATGATAAATCATTACGCGCTTGGGATTACAACATTCCAGTCCCTATTAAATTTATTGCCGAGCCACACATGTACTCCATGACACGTGCTTCCCTACATCCGTCTAAAAAATGGGTAGCATATCAATCGTCTGATAATAATATCTTCGTATATGGAGCTACAGACAAGTTCCGTCAAAATCGAAAGAAGGTCTTCAAGGGACACAATAATGCGGGTTATGCTATTGATGTGGCCTGTAGTCCTGATGGACAATTCCTTGCGTCAGGAGATAGCGGTGGATATGTTTGTTTCTGGGATTGGAAACAGTGTAAGATGTATCACAAGTTCCAGGCGAGTAAAGAGGCTGTTACTTGTGTGGAGTGGAGTCCTCAAGAGAGCTCGAAGGTCGCTACGGCGGGGTTGGATGGCGCGATTAGGTATTGGGATTAGATGGAGCTTTCATGAAAAGGGGAGAAGGGGAGGAGAGAATGTATGTATGATAGATATATTCCAATCGAGGTCCAAAGGGAATTGGAAACCAATCCATGATGGAATTCTAATATTGAGGAAGTCATTACACTTTTGCATCAAGTGAAATCTCTTTCTAAAATGATGTGTATTCGCGTGATATCAATTTACGCTAGAAGTATCTGAAGTGTCAGATCTCTTGCTGAAAATCTTCAAAAATGCATGCAATGGGTGGGAACTTTGGCATAAGCCCAATGAATTGTCGTCTAGTTGCCAGTCATCCGGTGAAAAGTTTGTCCTGCGACATGACGTCTCTGAGAAGGCAGACTACTTATTGCAGAAGTTACTATAGAGGCAACCAACTAGTTTACTCGAGCCCAAGTCATATACCCGCTCATCTCGATTCATCATTCATGATATCCTATATGACCCTGGTTTCTTTGTGTATACCTCCATAATTTCTGAATTGTTTACATTCGGATTTATCCTCACATCCAATGTTCACATCCACGCAACAAACATTCTCTTCCCAAATCTAGGCCTCTTTCTATCATCATCATATCTCGTCCCATGCTATCTAACACTACAGTGACTATCGCAGCCCATACGATCCGAATTTATCACGAGCTCGCCATTTACATTCACCAAAATGACCACACATCACCCCAACCTTGCTTCATTACCCCGCCCCTGTCTTCCATTCTCTTGGATTTTAATTTTGAGAGTCCTGCGTTACTCGCTGTACATGCCATTGATTTTTGAAGCGTAGGAAGAACCACTCCGTTGGGATAGGTTGTGTCGATCTTTTTTGGGAGGTGGTTAGTTGAGACTTTTGTTACATGAGATGAGAGGGAGATGGAACATCCCTTTTTAGAGGAATGAAAAATGGAAGACAAACATAAGTCGAGCTCCATGAACAACACCCCGCACCGATCAGAGTTCCATTGACTGGATCTGTACATCCCCATTCATTTGCGGTTTGGGTGGTTGGCATACCGGTCCATGACACGTTGGATACGAGTAAGGTTGCGTTTGTGCCTGGGTTTCTGGTTAGGTTGCGTTTGTGGAGGTGGCGAGGCACTGAGAAGATAGTGCGGAGAATGAGAAGCGGAGGGATGAGGGAGGTCGAGGGTGAGAGTTGGAATAGAAGAGCTTTGGATTACATACAAGAACCATAACCGCCAAATTCATCAACAGCGCAACAACCTCCAAAATACTCATTCAAGCATGTTGTAGTAAGTGTAGATCGGATTTGGTTATCATCTCTTGAGGATGGGGAGTAGTAGAGAGGAGATGCGGATGTGTGGAGGATGAAATTGAAGAGGACGAGGTGAAGACATGGGGAATTTTGATAATGCATTGTTTTTGCTTGCGTGTTGTTCTTGAGCAAGGAGATTCTTCGTAAATGGCGCGTGTGGGTTTCGCGTGGGTGTAGATAGATAATGGCCACTCGCGATGGCGAATTCAAAATCTCAACAGCAATGGAAAATATAATCTTTAGATCATCACTATAACATCCACATTACAGAAAAATCACCAGAACAAACCAAATTTCCAAGAATTAACAAGACGGGAACTATCCCTTTAAATCCTCAAGCACATCCGTATCATCGCATTCATCCGCTTCACCCAACATATCTCTCGCCAATTCACCCTTTTCCTCATCACCACACTGTCCTTCACCACACAGATTATCCCGGCCAAATTCCCACAATTCCGAAATCCGGGGTAAACAGGGATTTACGGAAGAGCTTGCCGAAAATGGGTGATCGGAATCATGGTGTGTGGGAAAGGATAAATGGGTAAATTGTTTAGCGAGGTCATGAGGTTTTTGCTGACGGAGAATTTGTGTATTGGAGGGAGTTTGGGTTTGGATCTTGGATTCTGGGTTCTAGGTTCTGGGCTTTGGAATATGGACTGCGGCTTCGGATGAGGTATTCGTGGAATTTGTAATGGGGTTGGAAAAGGATGGAAGAAAAGGGGAAATAAATTGGGGTTGTTTGTTGGGGATGGTTATTGGATTGTTTTTCTTCTGTCGTTGGTTGTTTGGGAAGAGGAGGCGAGAGCTTGTTGGAATATATGGATGTCGAGGGATGAAGGAGAGGATGAAGAGATTCGAAATCACGTAAAGAATCCACAGAATATGAGGTGCGATGTAAAGAATAATATTGTGTTCTATTTGGCCAGAAGATTAGATATGAATGCTTGGCAATGTGATAACCTTGTTATTCGATTCTTCCATGAAGAGCGATTGGATCTATGACGGTCTCTGATAGGTAAGAGTGTGTTTGTTCCTGCTATATGTCATGGATATCTCCATAGTAATTGAGGGATTGTATCTTCCCTGGTGGATTTTCCTGCTTGGTGATGACTGGACCCGAGACAAAATGACTGAAGTGCTGACTCCCTTTATCTTTTTGGGAGGACAGACTTATGCGATCGTAATGACAAAGAAGAGCTGCGGGATTAGTGTATTGAAGTGATATTAATTAGTTACTCAGCGTAGAATCTGAACTCTTGACAGATAGTATGGTTCCGAGATGATCATTGAATAGATATCCAACACACACTAACGGACGGCTCGCTGCTGGCCCCATAAACCACTACCATGAGAGTTGTTTAGACAGTCGCCTAGCACGCACAACGAGCAACGAGGATGAGAAGCTCAACCCCTCCCATAGACATAGACTATAAAGATAGTAAACAACGAACATTGTGCGAAATGTCTTCGAGCGCAGCGAGCTATGGGGGATTGGGGGCTTGCCCCCATGATAACCAAGAGGCATGAAAGTCGTTGACTTTGCGAGTGTGTTGGCCAAGAACTCTTGGCTTTGCTCTTTTATCTCCGGGATGAGCCATATTGTGTCTGATGGTCCGGTTAAGAATCTTACTGAAATTTGTCAGTTGTAACCTGGTGTTACAGAATATCATGGAATCTCGCTCTAGAACTCAGAATCATATGCTTGAACAATGAATACCTATAGTGCTTATGCGAGTAAGGAAACTCTAAGAGAAGTTTCATGCTGACCCACTGATTTCAGCAATCATCGCACTTTCGGGCAATATAAGGCATATTCTCGGGCCAGATTATGAGCAGTGGAGACAAAATCGGTTCGAGATTCAAGGCCAGTCTCCCAGTATAACCTATCATTTTCATCACCTCCGAAGCTCCATGAAGATTTAATATCACAAACTTTCGGGAAGAACGATTAGGTGCAGCACCAGTTCCCCGCAAAGGTAGCATCGCCAGTACTACAACCTTGAGAGTCACAGATACCATGACCAAGGTCACAATCCTTCACTCGAATGAGAGAGGCAAATGATCTTGAGCCTCGGAGATATTCCCTTTGTACAATGTTCCATTCTCTATTTCGTGCTCCCTCAAATCGAAGATGTGATATCTGATAGTGATGTTACCACGAATGTGGATTCTTCAACCCTTGGTGTTGAGAAAAAAGTCTCGTATAGGCGCCACGATGGATCTCTTGATAAGATCCTACCTTATTATCAGCCTTGGCCGCCGAAAACTCGAAATATTAGATGATCTATGATCTCTTGAAGAAATCGAATGTGGAGCTCGGCGGAAGGAATGTAGTAGTACCGGTGCATCTATTGCGATATTGCTGATGAAAGTGTCGTACATTTCTCCTCCGTACGTCCGTCACCTCAAGAACTAGGGTCATCGGTAAAGTGCGGTTGCAGCTTATCACTCAGCTTGCAGCTTGTTGATGAGATTGTCGTGTGCTTCTCACTCCGTACGTCCGTCTCGCTGTCCATGGTTGACATCTCATCGTACAGATTGCCAATGAAAAAAATTCCGTGGGGGGAATAAGGTGAAGGATGCACCAAGGGAAAATTTGTCTAGCTGCACTGCTGCAGTGATATTGGAGATTAGATTTCGAAGACCGACAAGGTCATAATGATCGCTACTAATTGCCACTTTCCGAGAGGGTTCGCAGCACAAGGTATGCAGTGAGACTGATTGTTGAAGTTCTTGAGTATCAAATGTGGAACAGAATAATACTCGGCTCAACTTGGCTGATGATACCGTGCATACTCTTGTATCCATTTCATATCTTTTTCAATAATCCTAAGATTTCATGGCAATAATTGTGCAATATATCCACACATGTATTGTTCTGGGCATATTCGAAATGTAAAGGTGGTTGGTGGATGAACTCGTTGCTCGCAAAAAAAAGTGAGGCAGTGTTGATGTACATAGCCAAGATACTTGGGAATTCTTGGTGTTACAGGATCATGAAATGATGTTCCATTCGAAATCCTACACTGCCAATACACCATCGTTCATCATCAAACATGTAAATTGTAAATCATACAAAGTATGGAAAGAATAGGTCACTTGACATGTTTCAGAAGATCTAAATTTGCAAATCTTCACCACCACTCAAACAACCAAGAATCTTCCATCCCTATTCAACAGACTAAAGAGGACTAACTTGGAAACAAAAGCCTTACGCCAAGTTGACAGTCAAACTAATAACTACCGTTTCCCGTCGGTACATAAAGTAATGATCGATGTTTATCATCTTAAAATTGCTTGGTAGATCATCAATGAAGAACAATAATTGTTTGCCCAGCACAACACCAAGATCTACCAAACTCTTATCGTAGATGCCAAGACCATCATTTCCCTTTAAATAGTTTAATAAGTTTCCAATATGGTTAACTTTCAGGCGGATCGGATCGTTTGTAGGACTCTGTGCGTAGCTTGGCCGGAACACCGCTTGTAACAATTTGGTCTTCAAAGAGTATACTGGAGGAGAGGAGTCGCGGGTACGTACTTCCTCCCCCAAAACATTGCGAAGCGAAGATTACCCCTTCATCCTTGGAAAAGGAATGTGGCGAGGTTCTTTTTCTTTTCACAACGTATTCGATGTTTCAATACATACGTATGTCAGAATTTTGTATATACCATAGAGAATAACTCCAAGGGGGGTTGCCAAGGAATGCCTGAAATGACCTTGGCAGGTACAATACATCAATACAGACATTTTTAATTATATTAAAATTCGTTTATTGCGATGGCGGAAATCTCGATAAGGATAAATTCTGGCGTAACATTCAGCAGTCCATTGAGTCCGCCCATGCTTCCTTATTACGACTCCGGATTGGCTCCCGGAGTTCCCGTTGAGGTTCTGCGTGGAAGATTCTTTGGATAATATTCATCGCCAAGAAATTTATGCGTAGCGGTATTCCTGGCGTATTCCCCATTGACTCCAAGCGGAGCAAGCGTAGGAGACCAGCTGGGGGGAAACAGTATATCTCTTGGCAAACTATATTTTCATGTATGTACCGTTCCATTGCGTTCAGTGCCATCTTGGCTTACTGATGTGGAGGTCGTGAATCCGCAAATGGCGCTCGGTCATGCCCAGAATTTGTCTGACACAGATAGGTGACTTTCCAAGAATTTGAGGGTCTGTATTGAGAATAATGGATTGAGGTAAGAATGAGGCACGGAGGGGGGAGGGAAGGTATGTTGATGAAAGTGTATATATTCATCGATGTTTCCCTCCTCATTTCCTCCTCATCATTCAACTCAATCATACAATCAAATACCAAACAACCAATCCAAAATCAAGCAATCTACACCCGGCTTACTTCCAACAACACAACCATATCTTACATTTTCCCAACCAATCACAACTCACCACCAAAAATCACCATGTCTTCTTCCACAACTCAACAACCACGTCTTGGTAAGCTTCTTATCCCATTCTAATCTCACATCTCACATAATTCAATGATATACTAACATTCTCTCTAGACCGTGCCTACTCTACCTCATCCGCTTCCTCCAGCGACTCCAACGATGGATGGCTCATTCTCAACGGCCATGGCTCCTCTACAGTCACTACCCCCAACGAATCAACCGATGCATTCAACCCCTACCTTCAGCTCGCTCCAGTCACCCGTGGTGCATCAACTGTCAACCAAAAATTCAGAGCTACAGAGAATGCAGAGGATAGACAAAGATTGTTCTTATTGAGAGCAAGAGACAACTAGATTATCTGGGGCTTGTCGCGGAGTATGGGATCTGGAGATGATGAGATGGCATTGTACTAGTGGTTGAACTGGAATTCAATAGAGGTGGAAATCGCTGCTTCTCAAATCACAGAATGGAGCAGGGATACTGGCGAAAATTGGTTTGGTAGTTTTTGTTGCTGGATTGTTAGCTACTTGGGGTTTTGGTCTGGGCCGGTCTTCTTTGAAGCGTAGGAGTATCATTATTCTTTTGACCTATGGGAATCGAAATTATATGCACTTATGATGGATAAATCAAAATAGAAAAAATTCAAATATCATAACATTAAAAACCTTCCCCGCGTGATCATAATGTGCTCGAGCGAAGAAGTTGATATACTGCAGCCTACATGATGATCTCAGAACTTAAAGCACCTTGATGAAGCCGCTCCCTAAAATCACGTACACGAATAGTTAGTTTATCCCACTTACAAAGCACAAGCTGCATAAAACCTACTTCTACCCCGCCCTTCCCGGTGGGTTGTGGCTGTCGCTACGTGTGGTGACGGGAAGATACATATCAAACCTAGATGCTGTAGATCTCGCTGACTCTCACAAACACGTATTACATTCATATCTTTCACCGCTTGATCATTCGAAATGCTTCGTACTCTTCCCCAATCAAAAATGCAATATATCACGTGACTGCAGGTTCCAACCTTCAAGCTGAAGAGTTCTAGCGGCTGAAACTTTACGGTCAGAAGCAGACATAACTAGTACTCTTCATTTTAACTTTTCTTTCCCTGGAAATCTCAGTTGCCTCGCTTACAAAGGACATGAAAACTTGTTATACGCTGATTAGTCTTCTGATACCCTTCCCTCCCCCTTCAACCCAATTTAAAAGTATTCAATTCTACATTAGGTAAAGCATATTCTACGCATTGAGAAACTTAATACAACATCACTCCCAACCCTATTTGTTAAGTAAAGGAAAATGATAAGCGGGCTGAATAATGAGAAAACCCGTTATGTAGGTTTAGGTACCTAGATAGATATCAGCATCAACCAACATTCAAAACTTCAAAACATATATTCATCTACTCATCTCCAGACACTGTATCTTTTCTATCTTGAGATGTCTATAATCAAACATGCACCACCAGAAAAAGGATTAATTGTTCTCCCCAAACCAAAATGGCCCCTCCCCGCTTCATTCCCCCTTTTCCCTCGTCTTCCCCAAAAACAAAAAATACATACTCGAATCGAGCTTGATACAATGGACTAGCGGCGAATCGAACGCCGGACCTCTCCCATGCTAAGGGAACATTATACCACTAAACCACAAGCCCTTTTTATTGTATCCTTATTTGATGGGAGAGGAGTCTCAATCTATGTATATATTGAAATTGATAATAGTAGTGGGGAAAACCAACAGATTTTGGAGAAGATATGGAAAGTTTGAGTGGAAAAGAGGGGGACGAGTGGGGGAGATTTATGAATGAGTCAAAAGTGGATATGGGTCTGAGGGGGGAGACCCACTCTGCGAGGAGCATGTGGGCTCGGGTATTGTGGGAGAACCCCTGAGATTTGGGGTGTGAGGAGTGAGAGGTAGCTACTTGATAGAGTAATCGAATAACCAGAAGGTACAGAGGAATTGAGAAAAGTTTTTGTTCTGAGATGTTGGGAGGATATGCGATCTGTCCGGGTTGTGGATAAAGATGTATCCAAGATACTATAACTATATAGGACAAGTTAGAGAAGGAATTTGACTGAAGTGAAAGATGACCTCCATTATCTTTACATAGATGATTTGACATGGGCTGAAGTTAAGACATGTAGTAAGACTAGATAGTCAGTATTTGCTTATTTGGGGGAAGAATAATGTGCGAAATCCAGCGCTCAGTCTATGAGTTTTTTTTGCTAGAGAATGATTGGATAAACACACAAGTAAACTAACAAGAATGGTAGTTCAGTTTGAGTCTTACTAGCTCTCTCTCTAATTATATCTCTCTTTACTACAAGCCCTCAATTTTTTTTGGAATAGTACAAGGGTACAATTACATCATCATAACAGAAACTCCCGTTCGTAGGATCATTAAGCTAAACCCCGAATGTTCCCATACAACTATATTTGATCTCAATTGATCTTCAAGATCCGATGTTCTCTATACTTTTCATCTAACATCAAACACATACCTAGATGAATTCCATCTCCCAAATCCAACTTGCTACTGAAACCAATCAGGCAGACCTGGAACAGCAGCGCGTAATTCTCCATTCCGGAAAGTCGATTGGTTAATACGTTATGAATAACTCCGCACTAGCAATATAAAAGAAAGAACTATCGAATTAGGCTGCTAGACACTGAAACATATATACATGAAAAGAAAAGAAGAAGAAAAATCTTGCGGGAAGAGGTAGGATTAGGCATCTACTTTATTTGCGAGTATAGTCTTCTACTATGAACTAATACCTGAGGTTTAAACCTTTAATGGGGAATTTATATCTATAACTCTTATGGTTCTTTAAAGATAATAGATTGATCTCAATAAATTTTAAGAGTGATATAGATTTTCAAAAGTCTAGATAGAGCGCTGCTTGATAAATATTCATTCTTGTATTTTTATAATTCATAAAAATATATAGTATACGAGCGTTGTTATGTATATTTCAAAATTCGTATCTAGATGAAAGTATATCGAAAAACAAATACTCATAATTATTTCTAGAGGGATCTTAGTCCTGTTTCATTTATATTTATATATTCTTTCTCTTACTTCGTTAACTTTCAAGTTATTAGATAGAATATTCAATGATCTAGACTATAGTTTAATAATATAAGGATTTAAGTTACTAAAAAGACTTACAGATCTAGAAAGATTTCTATATATTAATCAAATTCAATATTCCCAAAAATCTAAATATTCTAATTGATTTAGATATTTGATAATCATAATTATTAGAATACAATTCGTACTATAGATACTCTAGAATATATACATATGTATATAAATGAAGTATTAATATTATCTATATCTATATCTATATCTATATCTATATCTATATCTATATCTATATCTATATCTATATCTATATTTATACTAGTAACTAAATTCATACTCCTCATTATTCAAGCCAAGAGTCATAGTCCTAAGAAATGAAAAAGCGAAATTTGATACTCACTTATAATACTCATCAAGCTACATTTTAGTATTTATTACGGAAATTACAATATCGAATTAAATATCTATAGAATAGAGAGCTTTCAAACATAAAGATTCTATAAATAAAAATGCGTATTTATTAGGTGGGTATATAATATATAGATAAGTATTATTGAGATATTGCGAAGTAGGTGTATATCTGTATCCTGAGAGGAAATAATATTAGAGAAGAGAGAAGAGGAGAGATTTTGATAAATAGATTGCTTTAGACTACTGTAGCTTGCTGTAAATTGCTGTAGATTACTATAAACTGCTATAGTGGATCTTGAAGGGAGGTCATTGTAGGAGGTGTAGGATCTCGTGAGAGACTGGGTATGATATTTGTTGTTTGTTATTCTGGTAGGTAGTTGTTGATTTGATTTAAATTTGTAGAACAAGGTAAAGGTATGAAAACTGTAAAGGTGTAAAGAAGAGAGCTCATCGAAAATAAATACAGATATAGGGATAGTGATATTACTTTGAAGTAAATAGATGCGAATGGTTGTTACTGAATTCATTTTATGGATTAGTTTCTATAGTATATCAGTGAGCCAATATATCAGCTTTACGGTATCTTTGTGAAGGATTTGGGAAAGTGGCCTGAATATTTACTTTTTTTGTTTTTAGATAGTATTATTGTCAAGCCAATTATAGCGAGTTAAGACAGATTGTGATCTTGTATTTCTTCTCCTTCTTCTTCTTTATTTCACTTACCCACTGATTGATTCGTTGCCTTTTATCTCTTGCCTCTTGTTTCAACGACTTCTAGCATTAATCTGATCATCATTGGTTCTTTCAGTCGTACAGTGAACTAAAGAATACCACTACTACCACAACTACCACGGATCTGTATTGTATGGCTCTGTATTGTATTAACACTTCTATCAAGATCAAGATCCTATCTATACCTATCTATATATGCTCGACTTCGGCTTCGATTGCAATAGACTTTGAAAGTTCTAACCTTGTTCCTCGCCCAAATACCTAGAGTTCTCATCACGCCTTGACACAAAACATTTAATCTACTGCCATAAGCTATTTCTCGATAATCATTCGCTACTCAGTCCTTCTATCCTTACCGAGATTTCTTACAGCATATTAATCTTTCTACTTTGATAATCACCCCTTCTCCATAATACAACCAAATGGATAGTCACCAGAAATACCGTCTCGCCGACACCCTTAATCCCCTCAACTATTCTGAACGACTCTTCATCCTTGAACTCTGCCTCTCAGACAACCGCTCCAATCTTCAACGAGTCAGCTACCACCTTGAAATTCTGCGTGAGCGCCGATGGCCTACCGAGCGTTCAGAACTCCAGTATGTTTATCTTCATGCACATTCTCCATTCCACAGAAAAATTCTTTTCTCTATCTCGCATGGCTTCACAATCCCGCGTATAATTCTTGAATGGATCTTAGAAATTATACATATATGAGAGTCAGACTAACGAATAAATTTTAGAATCTTCCAAGAATGGAAGAGGCAGCTCGAAGAATCAAAACATGAATTACGGCAAATCAGAGATTGCCATAGAATGATGATGGAACCAGAAAGATCTTCGAGCCAGCAGAGTGAGACGGCGACTCGGGATGAAAACAGGTGGGCGATATTTTTACGCCGCTTCGGTATCATCGTTTGAAGTTAGGATATTTCTGTGGTGTCATCAATGAGATAGGGCGCCAGCGTTTGGGATTCGGATCACAATTCGATCTTTCTGAGGAGGAAATCAAAGGTGTTGAATTGAAGAGATACAGAATGGGAGACTTGCATCCTTGGACTTCTTTATCATCAGACTTTGATGGAGCTTGGATGCAAATCGAAAGACAAATACTGGTTGCGAGCAAGAAACTCGACAATACTGTAAGCGGTCTGATTCTCGGATGAACGGTTCAAAGATAATGATAATGGGCCCTTCTTTAAAGAAACATTGAATTATTGTGAAGAAAGCAAGCATATCAAATTGATTCTGACCCATACTAATGGAACTTCCGCTTAGTGGATGAGATGCTAGACGAGGGTTGAACTAAACCTTAAGACTAGATTTGTTGGAAGACCAATGAGAGTATTGGCAGACAAAGCAATGACAACATTATTGACAGTGAAGAAGAAGAATTAATCCTTTCAGCCACCGGGTCGGATTAAGAATTCGACTCCTTGGAAGAAAGGCATGCCTATTCTACGACAAATGACCGAGCTAGTATCTGCAGTTGAAATGATGGAAATTCATTTTTTCCCCTGACGTAGACAATTTGATTCAAGTTGTTCTGCAGTGGGAGGTAAGCCATTGCTAAAAGTTTCCCTTATGAGTACCTCAAGGAGTAGTATTCCGGGCCAGTAATTTCTTACCATCTGTGTCTCGTTGCGCTCGGTGGCTTATCAACCACCACGGCATCTGCTGTCAGAAGCTTAATTCACCAAATGCAGACATTCTTATTCAACTCCCCGCGACTACTCTCTGTAGCCCTCTTGGAGTTCATCTGGAGCCGAAGCAGTGTTCCCAATTAAATTCTGTGGAGGTTATAGGTTGTAAATATGATTATTTTCACCTTACAGTCAAAGAATTGCTTGTAACCAGACAATGAAAATGTACCAAGACCACAGTTTACGGATTTACACACTGGGGAATGTGAAGTCCAGTGACTGAAATAGTAGATTGCCATATATGGGTATTCTGGACATACAGATGGATTGCGATTGTCATTTGGAGTTTTCACTAAATATTTGTTGTCATTTCTGATGTAAGATTACCACGAATTATCTTTTTAATGGTAGTCAATATGAGTAATAGAGGTTTCTCAAGGTGATATGAGCAAGAACGGGAGATTTGCATAAAACCCCTCTCACAAAAGATCAATCTAGATTTTGGAGGACGCGCTCGGAAATTCTATGCCTGTTCGTCATATATCATGCAGAACAATGCTGTTCGGAATAGGGAGAGTGGGTGGAATATATAGCAATTAACCGCGCATGATGGAGCAAATTTTTTTAATCGAGTAGTGGAATAATGCTAGGACAACCATCTCGCTCTTAATAAGAGACGATATATTGTATCCGGACTGACCTTTTAATATAAAACCAATACTTCGATCCGGCTCTGCACCACCTAAAGTTTTTTGAAGGGCAACATACACAATCAATGGAATCTTCGAATCGTAAGAATACTCATCAGATAAGATACTGAAAGATTATGAGATTGTTTGATCAATTCAAAGTCTATCTCTAGCTCTCAATATCTGAAAGTCAGATTTCTCTCGACTTCGTGTTTCTTCACTGTCAATTTATCCTATCAGTCAACAATAATGACAACAACAAAAACAGTGAAAGAAACGTCAATCCTTCTCCATTGCCATTTTCTTACCCACACAAACGCATATCCATCCAATCCGGTAGCCAACTCCAGAGTCCAGAATCACACCAGGAGATCAGAACTTCTGTAAATCGAGAAAAAGCAGAGGCTAAGCAATTCCTTGTTCTCCATCTACTTGCTCTACACTCCGTGATGGTCAAGTACACAAGGAGATGATTGAGAAGTATTTATATACTTTCGCCAATGATGTAATTAACCACTGGTGAGGATCTGTAGCTTTTGAGAAGTAGTTTGATGGAACTGGGTATTAATTCCGATATGCGTATGTTTTTCTTGGAAAACTATTCACTGAAACATCGTGATAATCCAAGTTATGTCAAATCTTTGAATATGAGGCAGATCTCTATACTTCCCCCTCCTTTCTAAATGCCTAAAATCTCCCATATTTCTCTTTGGCAATGTCTCCACATTCCCACCATTTACTAGAGAAGTAGTATAAAACTGTTTATCCGCGAACATTTTGAATCTTCATGTACAGCGCAGCCGTTCACTGTAGAATAGGGAAACAAGGAAGCTACCCCGATGAAAAGTATTGAAAATGATTCAATTCTCTCTGTTTCCCTCGAAATTTCCTGCTGAGCAATTTCTCGCCCTCAAGCGCAAGGAATCAGGCACTCCATCCGATGTACGTAGATGATGATGAGACAACCCACCGATTGACGGCACCAAAGATGAACAACAAAAAAAGATCTCTTGTCTCAACTACAAGAGAGAAGAATAGTGAGATTATCTCAGTAACAATGAAAAGACTTCTTTCATTTCAACTTCACGAATGTGTATAATCATTTTCTATAGCTTCTCCTATCTAACTAGGTAGGTATCCAAAGTCATCTCATCTCACACACCCGCAACAACTAAATAGCGACAAATTCTCCCCACAAACACAGGAATTCAGAAACTCAACACTCCTCACCTGTCCTTACCCTTCTATTTTCAAGTTTCCAATAGTAGCGAATAGAGAACGAAAAACAATCAGGATATCATGGGGTACATATACTTCCTCTCTTTATTCAACTATTCGTTTATCTATTTAATCGATGATTTACATGCCCTTCTCATGATGAATTACTCTCCACATTTTTATTTAGATTCTACTCTGATAAAAACGTTTTTTATCGCTTATTCGCTCTCATACTCATTCTGTTTACTCGTATATCAATACCGATATTATTCCCCCCCCTTAGTCCTCTTATGACCTCGGGAGTTATAAATTTCTCCAGTCATAAGCAAGCGAGCGAATGAGCGAGTACCGTATAGGAAATGAGGGGTTTTTAGGACCGATCTATAACCACTTCAATTAGTACATCTGCTATACATCCATTTAGAATTTTAAATCCGTTTCTAATCAGATTTAAATAGAAACTATAGTTTTCAATATTCTGAAGTGAATTAATATAGTTAAGGCTAATAAATAGTTGGAAATAAGAGACAGTTGAATATATAAGATGAATGTAGGGATTATCCGAGGTTCCTTAGATTTAAGGCTCAAATCTGGACATATCCTTCCCTCCCCTGTCAATTCAATTGATATTGACGAATACGCTAGCAAATACCCCGGTAAATGCATAAAATTTATGCACAAAGAATTCGCTATTGCTGTAGAACTTCAAATTCAACACATTTTGAAAATCTGAATTCAGAATAATTCGAATTAGCTAAAGTTTAGTCTGGTAGTGTTGAGTATGGTTCTATATGGGGAGTAGGATAGAGAGTATATATGTAATTGATTGAATTTCTAGTATTAGAATTCTGAATAGCTTTTATTCCAACTTTCAAGATTACTAAGTAATATATCCATTCTACAACTCTTTTACAATTGTTAAGAGCTCTACAACTGTCTAATTTATATTCGGTTTAAACATTTCTTCGGAAGAATTACAGCCTAAATTAAAATCATAAAAAGTGAATTCGCCAGTTGCAATACGGTTGAATATCCGATATAGAACCGACCTAAATTACCCTAATTCCCTATAAGGTAATCAAACGCTATTTTTTTTAGAATTCAAAACAAAGAAAGAGTATTATCTCTCTCACCTTATAATTTCGTTCTATAAAATATTAAGCAAATTAATTCATTTCTCTCTCATTTTATTTCATTATCTCATTATCTTATTCCTTCTTATTCTATAAATTTATCTTATTCATTCTTTTACTCCTTCCATCATCTCATCTCATTCTATTGTTTCATTTCTATTCATCATCTCATTCGATCTCATCCCGTTTTATATACTACCCAAAGCCAACTACCTAGGTAGGTAACTAACTAACTCACTAACCGAGTTTCTCGAATTCCACTCTCATACTCATCTCATTATACCATGGATTCATCTTCTCCGTTTGGATGTATAAATACCCAAATACAAATATATATCTCATATAGAATAAGTAGAAAAGCTTGAGAAATCATCAAGTAGATGAATGGGATGTAAATTGTAGTAACCCAATGAATGATTGTGAATGACTTCAGAACTATAATAGATATCCTTTATATAAGAATTGGAAAACTATCAACCCAGGTACAAAACACTTCTGATCTTTCGATATCGATTATTTATGAATCAACTAGAGCTCAGATTGATTCGAATAAGCTGATATTGTTCTCACAGTCAATTGTCTTTAATACAATTACATTGAATCCTATACATATAAAGCAGATAGTATTATTGTCTCAATGTATTGGAAAAGTTTTCAACTTTTAGAAACTGAATTGTGAAGTTTGTGAAGTTAAGGTCCAGAGACTCATGACTTTGAAATTGTATATGATAGATTATGTTGAAAAGTCTATAAATCCAAGTCAAAAAAACGGAAACTATTCAACCATCAATAACACAAGAGGACGGTTTGAGATACATGATGAAACTATTCAATGTCACGAAGTAAAGCTGGAAATTGATAGGGATCAAATGGTTCCAATAGATGTTGTAAAGTACGAAGAGAGAACAGCTAAGCTACGAAGCGAAACTGTATTTATAATATCCTTCTCCTTAGCCTCTGGTTATATACGTTCTGACACTCTTCCCCTTTTAGACTTCACGTGCTCGTGAATCAGAATCGCCTTCGCTAGGAAGGAGCAAAATCATATTGTAAACACGGGCTTTTCGAAAGGAGCGGAATTGGACTGTAAACAGAGGCTTGCAGTGCTTTAAAGCTATTCAAAGATCGTACTATCAATACAGACTGTCTTCTAACCTTTCTAGATCACCAAATGACGAAGGAGGTAGTAGATCACGAATGGTTTTATAATATCATAGTAGATGCTTATAAAAGTATTA